TACAACGCCGACGTGCGCAAAATCCTCGACGAGCGCGAGGTGAATCACTATTCCACGTATTCGGTGATGAAAGCGTCGGTGGTGGAGAGATTCAATCGCACGCTGGAAAACATGTGGAAGTTCTTCACGCTCCAGGGATCGTACAGATGGATAGACTCGCTGCCGCGCCTCTTGTCGAATTACAATCGTCGCAGACACAGAACGATCCAAATGCGTCCGGCGGACGTGACGCCCACCATCGCCGAAAAACTGCTGCGCACGGTGTACAATCGCGCGAAGATAGCCGCGCCGGCGAAATTTCAAGTCGGCGATCCGGTGCGCGTGAGCAAATTCAAAACGATCTTCAAAAAAGGCTACACTCCTAATTGGACCACTGAGATCTTTCGCATAGCCAAAGTACAAAGGACCAATCCCGTTACGTATCTGCCGAAAGACGTTCGCGGAAAAGCGATAGCCGGAGGATTCTACGAACACGAGTTGCTGCGCGTCTCCAATCCCGACGTTTATCTCGTGGAAAAAGTCCTGCGCAAGCGCGGCAATCGAGCGTTCGTGAAGTGGTTAGGAATGGACATTTCGCACAATTCGTGGATAGATAAGGCGTCTGTGTTGTAAAAAGAAAGAAATACTTAGACATTAGTAGACAACGCTTACTTTATTGTCAATAAAAGTTTACACCTTCGTCGATTTGTTTCTTACGTGTTATTGATTTTTACGATAAAACAATTTTTAAAGTGTACAATATTGTTTCACCCTTTTTTTTACAACGGTATTTTGTAATGTCCCCACGGAAGTGTCTCCTCACCGTTCGACGTCACGTATCGCTTGTCGTCGTGCGGACTGAGGGCTAGTTTTTGCTCCGACACGGTGTTAACCTCGTGCAGCGTCGAGCGTATGCACGACTGGTGTGTCTTCAGCTCGCGCGCGTTCCGCAGGCACTCCACGTAATCCTGGAACGTGATCCTCTTCGCGACTACGTTTCTCTTGACGCTCTTTATTCTCTTGGTGTCGTCGCGTTCGAGTATCTTGTAAGTGTACATCTTCGCTCTGAGGCCCACGAACTCCGTCATGATCGCGCCGTTGTTCTCGTCCTTCATCAAACCTGGCACCTTCTTGTTGACGCGCGGCATACCATGCGCGTTGTTCTCAGCGTAATCGCTCGTGTCAAACCTGTGCACGTCGCGTTTCATACGCTCGTACGCGTCTTCGTACTCCAGCGAATAGATCAGACTGTCCGTATCCGTGTAGGCAATTCGACAACGGTCGCGATAAAGCGGCACCATGTAGTCGTAGTGAAACTCGTAGATACGCGTCTTGGATATCTCGAGAATAGACATACCCACGTAGATCGGCTTGTTGAATTTTACCTCGAGCCTTCGCAGCTCGATCGCCACCAGATTCTCCGAGAAGACGCTCCTGCTGTGAAAGTTCGGCTTAGTGATCAACGCCTCCGCGCCGTATCTCCCGTCCCATCGCGTCACGAGACGCACGTCCACGTGATCGCGCACGTTCTCCATAGTCTTGCCGAAGACGGCGTTGTTCATCAGTTTGTACAAATTCCGTTCGAACTCGTTGCTCGCGCGCGTCCTAAGCGCGGTGTTCAGCTCGATGTAGACGCGAAGCCACGGCGACTGGGCGAATCGCAGAACGCGACGAACGCGCGTCAGACGCATACCTAGTCGCAGACATTGCTGCAGGTTTTGATAGTGCGTCACGTAGCGCGATTTGTCGTAGAGAGTGGCGAGCAGTTTTTCCTGTCGCTTGCCGAGCGTTTTGTCGCGCGTCGGGCACAACGGCAGATCCGCGTGGGTGTCGTGCAGGTCTCGCGGGTACTCGAGATCCACCTCCAAAATGTAACCGACGTCGCTGTCCGTCGGCACGGTCGTCGCGTCGAAATTCTCAGGATCGTCGAGCTACTGGAAATTTGCGTAGGGCAACGATTCGCTCATAGCCCAGCCGTACAAATTGTTCACGTCGTAATACATGAGATAAGTAGTGAGCTGGGACGAGTCGTGCGTCGGTACGTGCCTGTTGTTGGCTCGCGCGTACCTGAGCGAACATTGACTGAGGCCGCCGCGTATTCCGCGTTCCACGAACAGCACCATGTCGATGTCGGTGAGCAGCTCGAAACGCACGCCGGTGTACCTCAGCATGGCGTCCCACGTGTACCCCGGCAACGTGTAGTAATGCGCGGGATCGAGCCCGTAACTCGCCGAACACGCGTCCCGAAAATTTTCAAATATATCCGCCAGAAGAAGCACGTCGGTCTTGAGATACAGATCGCTGTACTCGCCGAGATCTCGCACGCGAAAACGTCGCCAGACCCTCGTCGCGTGCTTGTAGTCGCTCTCGCTCGCGGTCTCGTCGGTCAGGAAGCTGTAAAAGGTTTCGCGCGGCGGAATCTCGGTATCCCGCAGTTTGTCCGCGCCGTCGACGTACTCGTACGGAAACACACCCTTGCGAGTGAACAGATCGAGATCCTCCGCGCTCAAATTCGCGTACTCCGAACGCGTGATTCTCAACTTGTCCCTGTTCAGATAGGACGCCAGGATTTCGATACTCGCCGCTAAAAATTTATACGAGTCCACGAATCGAAGCTTCACGTACCGATCCCATTTCCCGTTCGTCTGCGTCTCCTTAACGGTCTTCGAGAAAGATATGTAGCTTTCTTTCGTGAGCGGCAGCAGATCGACCCCGCCCTTGAAATCGTTCGCGATTTTCTCGACGACGAAGTGCGCGTCGTAACCCGACAAATTGTAAAAGAACACGGGAATTACGTAAACGTTTCTGTAATTTAGATTGCAACGAGAATGCGCCGGACCTCTGTAACGT